GAGCAATGCAGCAGCATAAACTGCTTCGGCGGCGGCATTAGCTGGATCGGCGGACCTCTCGGGTTTAAGAGGCTCTTTGCCGTCACCAATGTTGAGAAGAAAGTCGGTGAGCTCGAGCCCCTTTACCTCGCGACTGAGGAGGTGCTTGTTGACACCATAGCGCCAAGCCTTGTAATTGGAGCATGTACCGTTCGGCTCGAGACGAAGGAGCGGGATCGGGTTGGCGAGTGAAGTGGTTGAGTAAGCCATTCCCGTTTGATTTTCACGAGGCAACGATCTTAAGGTACCGATAAGAACTTCAGTGCGCAGCGCGGCACTTCTGGAAATCGGTCGACGAGAATTTGCTGAAGATCACTCAGACGGCTTCGCCGAAATGCCGCTAAGAAGGAAATGGCGTCGGCGGGAATTTGTTTAAACAACGAGTTGAAACTAAATCTGAGCCTAAGTCTAACCCCGGACCTACACACCCCCCCACACACCCCCAGGCCCTGTCCCACAGCTACACAGCTCCGCAACCAGCTCCACAACCAGCTCCGCTCTGCTTCCACCTGTGTACCTGCTCTTGCTTGACGCGAGACGTTCGTGGAGGCAATTCCGCGAGGGGAGTTCGCCTATGCTGGCGGGGTCCGAGAGGAAACTCGAAAACGAGTTTTAAGAGATGGTCCGAATTGAGATTCGACCAAGGAGAACCGAGGAGGAAATCGACGATGAGAAGCGTGAAAGCTTCAGAGATGAGAAATTCAAAAAGGTCAAGCGCGAATGCGGTCGACGATCTGAGGCGCGATTGCAAAGTCAAGCACGTCGAAAATTCCGACGACTCGAGATGAATGTTGCTACGATGAGGTGCGCGTAGCGCGGGCACGTTAAGATTAGGACCTTGATCCGCTTGTGCGGATAGGTCTCTCTGATACCATGTAAGAAATAGAGCTGAAATGATTGATTAGGTAAGGAGCCCAAGGCTCTATAAGTCCATGGCAAGGTAAGGGAGAATGGATGAAGGGGGAATCGGAGGGAATCCCCATTGGGATCTCCGGAATCTCCAATTGGGTAATTGGAGATTGGGAGGATCACAATTGGGTGAGGTTGGGATTTTGTGAGTACACCCCAACCCACTAGAACATTCCTAACCTAAACTAGGATATAAAAGTACAAACACAAAAGTAGGATTTGCAATCTATTTCTAACAGTCGATCTAGGACTCCTGGGAGAGCGTGATCGTGCAAGCCTGGCGGTCACGGGTGATCTCCATCCCCAGGTAGTTTTTGAGGTCACCAAGATCCTTCATGAGAAGGGCGGAGCTGAGAGCAGACTGGACAGCTGCCATCTTTGCTGGATCTCTGGCGACTAGAATGAAGTCGTCGACGTAGACGAGGATGTAGAAGGACTCGGATGAGTGACGAACGAAGAGACTGGAATCTGAGGCAGAGGGAAAGAAGTCCTATGCAAGGAGGACTTCCTTCACCTTGTTGTGCCACTCACAAGGAGCTTGCTTGAGGCCATACACTGGGCGCTTCAGCTTCCACACTGTGTTGGCAGGGTAAGTCCCAAGAAACCCCGGTGGGCATTCCATGTGAACATCCTCCTTGAGCTGGCCTTGGAGAAAGGTGGGGGAGGCGTCCATGGACTTGATCTCGAAGTTGCCGCGAGCGGCTATATCAAGAAGAGCGCGCATAGTCGGGAGCTTGGCCGTGGACAAGAAGGCTTCGAAGAATTCGAGATACTCCTTCTGGTTGAAACCCTTCGCCACGTATCGTGCCTTGAACAGTGGAGCTTCGCCTCGGAGTTGTTTGAGTTGGAAGATCCATTTTCCGCCGACGATGTTAACACGGGAAGGGGGAACGACATCGTCAAAGCTGTTGTTGCGAATGAACGCCTCGTTCTCAACATCCATTGCTGCCTTCCACTCCTTCTTATAAGGCCCCGAGAGAGCTTCCTCTTTTGTGCGAGGAATCGGAATGGTCAGGTTCTCAGTGAAGTTGAGGGAAGGGCAGTCAGTTATGTCCGGGAAGATGTAAGAGAGAAATTGGCAGACCGCATGAAGGTCAAACAGCTCCTCATGCCTGTCCTCTAGAAGTGCACGGGGTGGAATATGGATGGAAGGGACATCACCCCCGGCAGGAGGAGGTGGAGTGACCGAACACTAAATGGAGAAGGCGGCTGGTCCCCAGGCGAGAGGCGGAGGCGGTCCCTTGGAGCGAGTGCGACTAGAGATCGGAGACGAAGGTGGCTGCGGTGGGACCCGGGGGACTGGACGCCTCCGGTACGAGACTGGTGAGCCGGGCTCGACGCGCGGGGAAGGCGGAGCAGGAGGAGGTGCCGCTGCGGAGGATACCGGGGAGGCCGGGTGAGACACGCCAGACGGAGAAGGCCCCGGAGAAGGGGCAGCGGCCGGAGGTGGGGCATCGAAGTCTGCCCATACAAGCGTCGGGGGAGGTGGAGGAGGCTCGCCTGTGGTCGCAGAGCGGAAGGGGCGTGTCTCATCGAAGATGACATCACAGCTGCGAATCCGCTTTCTGGTGATGGGGTTGAGGAATACGTAGTCTGGGGAGTCGGAGTTGTGCCCCAGGAACATGCAGGTCTGGGTTTTGGGGCCAAGCTTGCCACCTTGCTTCCTGCGCTGCAATGCCGTTCTGCTGCAGTCTTTCCGGGAGCTGCTGCCTGAGCTTGCTCTTGGTGCAGTCCATGCAGGTGGGTGCAGGTGAGTCTGTTGGTGGAGGAAACGCCGACTGGAGGCCAAGGAGAAGTTTCTTGGAAGCGATGTCGGCAAGCGTATGGAATTTGGGGTGACCCAAGCGATGGTGGTCGAGGATGGTTGGGTTGGCAAAGCTGCGACAGTAACACGGAGTGGTGTTTGGAGCTTGCGCTTGGGAGAGGGCACCGAGAGGTGCAGGTGAACGCAGCGTGTAGAGCTTGCTGCTGTTGAGTGTGATGCGTGCTAGGAGCTTGTTGGACATAGGGTCAAGGAGGTCATAGTGATCCGAGTGTGCTGGGAAGATCGTGGTGACGCCTGCCCGTTGAAGCTCGTGTTGGGCCACGAGATTGTGGCGTAGTGTGGGAACACACATGCCGGTGACACTGCCTGAAGGGAAAGCTGGGCACGGAACTGTGGAGGAGCCCTTGGCGTGTGTTGTGAACTGGAGTCTTCTCCTAGTAGACGGATTGGTGTCTTGTATGGCTTGAAGGAGTGTTCTTCCTTGAGAACCGTGTGAGTGGCCCCACTGTCGAGGGTGAACTCTATTGTGGCTGAGGTGCGTTGTGAGCCGGGACACTGCGAAATTGACTCATTGATCATGGCAGTGCCAGGGAACAACATGTTGAGGCGCACATCAGCAGGGGGAGCTACAGCAGCCTGCACAGATTCCTGCGCTTCGGCTTGATTGACCTTGCGAGGAGCACGATTGACGATCCAGCTTGGCGGCTTCGAGGCGGTCCCATTGACGGCATACCACTCGTCATCCTTCTTCTTGAAGCAGGAGGCAAGGGCGTGGTTGGTGCCACGACACACCTGTCCGGCACGAGGGCCGTGCTTGATGATGTAGGGACACGGGGGGAAGCGGTTGCGTTGGAATGGTGCCGAAGCGGCATAGGCCTGAGGCACAGGAGTGCGGACTGCATTGGCCTTGGCTTGAGCGCTGTTGTCCTTTTCGGCAGAAAGGAGTGCAGATGAGACCTAAGCAAAACTGAGGTCAGCAAAGAGCAAGCCCAAGAGCATCTTGTGTGTGACTTCGTATGCCGGAGTGAGGCCGACTAGGAGAGCGGCTGCAGGGGCTTGCTCGGGGAAGACTATCCACAACTGCTTGAGTTCACCATGAATGGACTGCACCTTGGTGACATAGTCCGCCATGACTGACGAGTCCTCAAGCCGCACTTGGAACATGCTGGGGATGAGTATAGCAACTCCCACTGCAGTCTTGTTCAGGATGTGGTCTTCGAGGTAAAGCCAAATGGCGTTGGCAGACGGGTAGTTGTGGTAGGTTTCGACGAGTTCGGGAGGAGTGGTGCCCATGAAGACACTAATTACCACACCATCGGCCTTCTCCCAATTCTTCTACTTGAGCAGTGCAGCAGCATAATCTGCTTCGGCGGTGGATCGACGGACCTCTCGGGTTTAGAAGGCTCGTTGCCGTCACCGATGTTGAGAAGAAAGTCTGTGAGCTCAAGCCCCTTCACCTTGCGACTGAGGAGGTGCTTGTTGACACTATAGCGCCAAGCCTTGTAGTTGGAGCATGTACCGTCCGGCTCGAGACGAAGGAGCGGGATCGGGTTGGCGAGTGAAGTGGTTGAGTAAGCCATTGCTACTTGATTTTCGCGAAGCGACGCTCTTAAGTCACCGATAGGAACTTCCGTGTGCAGCGCGGCAATTCTGGAAATCGGTCAACGAGAATGGCTGAAAATCACTCCGGCAGCTTCGTCGAAATGCCGCTGAGAAGGAAATGGCATCGGCGGAAATTCGTTAAAACGCCGACTTGAAACTGAATCTGAGACTGTTAGAATATACCATGCTATGCTAGTTGTGTATATTGTGTTTACATCCCTAGTTGGGTGTACACCTGTGTTGGGGTGTCAATCCAACCCAATTGTGGTTGGAGCCCCCAAACACAAGGACCACAATTGTGGGGGCACCACAAGTGGGTTGGCTAAACCACTGGTGGTACACCACACTTGGACCACCTCCAACTGGTGGTCAACCACATTTGGAAGGAGCCTCCCTCCCTTGTGATTGGTCCTAACCCCCCTTCCCTTCCAACCTTCCCTTCCTAGCTCATCTCTCTCTTCCTATGTAATGCCTTTCCTTCATCAATAAACTGAACCTTTCTGTTTCTAACATGGTATAGAGCAATAATGGCTCACGCCAACTTTTAAATCCCGATCCTTCCCCACGCTTCCGCCCCGTCCCCTTCCGACGTGCACCTCATTGCCGTCCCCTCCATCGCCGCTGCTAGACTCCTAGCCGCCGCCTCTCAACTAGTTTTCTGTTGGGTGGATTTTCAAAAACCCCCAATGCGCCAAACGCCATAGCTCGCTCGATAGTTGACAGAATTGAGTGATTTGACTTGCAAAAGAACGCTCTTGGTGTCAGCTACAACGTCGTAAAATTTCGGACTGTTTCATCGCTTGGATTGTCAGATATCGCTTTCCGAAGTTTGCACACTTTCCTGGATGTGATCACGAAGTGCTACTGAAATTTCTACCAAGTCCTATTTTCATCAGCTAACTGCCATCTTTCCCCATCTTTTGCCTCCTCACCTGCACCTGCTCATCGCCGCCTTACCACTGCTGCAGCCGTAGCAGCAGCAGCAGAAGCAGCAGCAGCACCAGAAGGAGCAGCAGACTCAGCAGCAGCAGCAGCAGCAGCAGCAGCAGCAGCAGCAGCAGCTGAAGGAGTAGCAGCAGCAGCAGCAGCAACAGCGGCAGCAGCAGCAGTGGCAGCAGCAGCAGCGGCAGCAGCAGCAACAGCAACAGCAGCAGCAGCAGAAGGAGCAGCAGCAGCAGCAGCAGCAGCAGCAGTATCTACAGCCATCCCCATCCTCCCCTCCTCTTTGAGCCGCCGCGGGTCCACCCGCCGCCGCTCCCTCCCGGCCACCGCGGGTCCACCCGCCGTCGCCTTCCTCCCACTCCGTGTCACCAATGTCATCCTTTCCCCCTCCTGTCGACGTCTCGACCCTCGATCATCTCGTGCGCGCTGCCGACAACTCAGCAACCAATTGGTATTCCTTCGTCGGCAGCCTCCACCGCGTCCTCGGCAGTGCTTATGTCCTGCCGTTCCGCCTCCTGGACATCATGCTTGGTCTCCCAGAGGGTGACCTTGGGGACCCGCCGCCTCACCCTGGCGATCCCCCCCCTCTCATTCCCCATCCCGGCGAGGAACCTTCGCCCCCCATAGTACCCGTTGGCACCAGCACTCGCGCTGCCACCGCTGAAGTTGAGCAGCTCTTCCTTACTCAGCGTCGTGAGTTCCTCGTGCTCCATACTGATTACCTGATCGCGTTGGAGGAACACGAGCGGTCGGCAACCCTCCGCACCCAGCATGCCGCTACCGCCGCCGCTTATGCCGCTGACTCTGCGCGATTTGCTGAGCGTCGTCGCGCCTGGCTCGAGGCGGACAGCCGTGCTACTGGTGCCCTTCTCCTTGCCATCCCGTCTGCGCTCATGCGCAACTTCCAGGCACGTCGCATCGGCTCCCGCCAGATCTGGCTCGAGCTTGAGGCAATGTTCGAACGCACCGACTTCGATGCTGTCGGACCGCTCTTCAAGGAATACTTCAGCATCACGATCGAACATAGTGCTGGCGCTGTTGACTACACCAGCCGTCTCCTGGACCTTGCCTCCCGCCTTGAGGCTCGCCAGACTACTCTCCCCCCAAACCTTCAGATCTACCGTCTCCTCGAAGGCCTCTCCCCTCAATATGAAGTGCGCGTCATCGCCTTCACTGAGGCTCAGCCCCGCGCCTCCCTTGACACTGTGGTCCAATGGATCATTGACGCTGAGGCCCGCCTTCTCTCAACCCCCCCCTCCGGCCTGAACTCCACCGCGTCCCAAAACCCCCAGCTTGCAGTCACACAGCCGCGTCGTGGCGGGCGCCCACGTGGCGGCCGCACCAACCCTCAGGGAGGGGGTGGAGGTGGCGGTTGTGGGGGCAGCGGAGCCGGCGGCGGTGGTGGCGGGGTCGAGGGTGGCAGCAGTGGTGGTGGTGGAGGCAGTGGTGGCTCATCTGGTAGCCGTGGTGGCCGCCCTGGCACTCTTCCCCCATGTTCCTATCTTCGCCGTTTTGGTCCCAGGGCGGGTGAGCGCTGCACCCAAACCAACCATCCCCCCGCAACCTGCTTCAAGGCGTATGATGACGCCTGGTTCGAGCGCGGCAACACTGGCACCCCCCCACGCTGGTCTGCCATGGATCCCCGCCCCTCTCTCCAGGATGTCAAAACTCTTCCGTCTTTCCTCCCCTCTCATCTTCAGCTCTCCTCCTCCTCCTCCTCTGTCGCTGACCCCATAACTCCCCAGGAGCTGCAGCAGTTTCGCCGCTTCCAGCAACTGCAGCTGCTGCAGCAGCAGCAGCAGTGGGGCTCTGGTGGTCAGGCTGCAGCCGCAGCTGCAGGAGCCGCAGCCGCAGCATCTGCATGGCAGCAGCAGCAGCTTGGCTTTGGCACCGCCGCCATGGCTGCCACAGCCACACCAGGTCCTCCTGGCTTTCCCCTCTGGGGCTCTCCTTCCCCTAGTGCTCCCGCCTCCCACTCCAGCTTTCTAGGCGAGCTCATGCGTTCTTCCCCTGCTTCCACTTCCATGTATCCCTCTGTTTTTAATGCCAGTGATTTCCAGTACCCCGTGTCTTCAGCTCCCTCCTCGCTCACGATTGACTTTGTTCTCGATAGTGGTGCCACTGAAACTGCCCTCAAAGACGCCGGCACCCTCACCTCCCTCCCTTTCCCCACCAACGTTCATGGTGCTGATTCCAGCTTCTCCATCCCTTGCACTCATCTCTCCACCCTCCCCTGCCCCCCCTTCCCCTCTGGAGTGGTCACTGGTCTCCACATTCCCTCCCTTCGTCATAACCTGCTCTCCATTCGTGAACTCCAACAGGCTGGCATCACTACCCTCTTCCCCGCCTCTGCTACCTACTGTGACCTCCTCCACGGCCCCACTCGCCGCCTCCTTTATCGCCTCCCACTTTGCCCTCGCTCTCGTCAGTACATCCTCCGCACACCCCGCCCCTCCTCATGCCACGTGACCACTCGTGCAGGCACCTCCACTCTCCCCCCTCCCCTCCCTCTAGAGCCACCTTCCTCCAACTCCACCTCCTCCCCATGCTCTTGTCGCGCACTGTCCCACCCCGCTGTTCTCATCCACCACCGCCTTGGTCATATGAACTTTCCCACACTTCGTAAAGCCATCTCCTCCCGCTTGCTTGACGGTCTTCCCCCCACTCTTCCTCCCCTCCCGTCCTCTTCCGCTCCCCCATGCGCCACATGCATTCATGGAAAGCTCAAACAACAGCCTCACCTCAGTCATCCTTCCTTTGCTGCTGCCCCCCTTGACCTCGTCCACATGGACCTCTGGGGCCCTAACCCTTCCCCTTCCCGCCAAGGGCACCGGTACCTGCTTGTCCTAGTCGACGACCACAGCAGGTACTCCTCGGTGTTCCTCCTCCACACGAAGGCTGAGGCCCCTGCTGTCATCGTTACCTGGGCCGAGCAGTGCCGAGTCCACTTTGGTCGCCCCATCCGCCGCCTCCATTCCGACGGCGGTGGTGAGTTTCTCAACCGCACCCTCTCCTCCTACTGCTCAACCCATGGCATCCAGCAGACTCATACCCTTCCCCACTCCCCTCAGCAGAACGGTGTTGCTGAGAGTCGCATTCGTGAGATCACCAAGACGGCCCGCTGCCTCCTCACTCATGCCTCCACGCCCCCTTCTCTTTGGGGCTATGCCCTTGTCCATGCTGCTCTCCTTACTAATCTTTACCCACATCCTCAACGCCAGTCTGTCACTCCCACTGAGCTCTGGGCTAGCACCAAGCCAGATGCTGCCATTCTCCGTATCTGGGGTTGCAAGGCATATGTCCTCATCCCCCCACCTGACCGCTCTCGGCAGGCAGGAAAGCTCGCCTCCAAGGCCATTGAGTGTGTCTACCTTGGCCACGCTCGCTCTGCCCCTGGTTACCTCTTCCTTCACCCGTCCTCAGGCCGCCTCCTACAGAGCCGTGACGTGGTGTTCGATGAGAGCATCCCGTTCTATCATTCTGTTCCGCCTTCCGACCCCCTTCCTCCTCTCTCCCGCCCCCTCACCTGGGCTGATGCTGTCATTCCCCCACTCCTTCCCCAGGCTCCCCTCCTTCCTCCAAATCCTGCTCCTCCCCCTCCTCCTTCCTCAGGTGACATTTACGACCCAGCTGTCCCTGACTCCCCTGCTCACTCTGCCTCATCGCACCAGCAGCAGCAGCAGCAGCAGCAGCAGCAGCAGCAGCAGCAGCAGCAGCAGCAGAAGGAGCAGCAGCAGCAGCAGCAACAGCAGCAGCAGCAGGTGCAGCAGCAGCAGCGGATGGAGCAGCAGCAGCAGCAGCAGCAGCAGCAGCAGCAGGAGGTTCAGCAGCGGATGGAGCAGCAGCAGCAGCAGCAGCAGCAACCGCAGGCAGTGCAGCAACAGCAGCCGCAGCAGGAGGTGCAGCAGCAGCACCAGCAGCAGCCACAGCAGCAGCAGCAGCAGCCACTGCAGCAACCTCATCGGCATCGCCGCACCACCTCTCCGTTCATCCTCCCACGCATCCACACTCGCTCTCACGGCCCACTCATAGGCCATCCATGGGGTTGGCCAACACCACCCCCACCCTCCCTTCCCTTCATTGAGGACTCCCATGAGGAGCTCATTGGCGTTCAGCAACAAACACCTTCCCTCACGCCTCTCTACCCGGGCTTTCTTGGCCTCCTCATCCTTGGCATCGCTACCGCTCCCACCAGATTCACTCCGTCCAACTTCCTTGAGGCCATCACCTGCCCCGATGCTGCCAAGTGGATCCAGGCTATCTTTGCTGAATGCGAGGCCTTCATCCGCAATGCCTCATTCGTTAACATTGTCCCCTCTCCTGACGACGTCATTGTTGAAGGCCTCTGGGTGTTCCGAGTGAAGCAGCTGCCGGGTGAGGAGCCGGTCTACAAGGCCCGGTATTGTGCCAAGGGCTTCACCCAAACTGTCACAGGATCGAATGTGTCGAGGAAAGGTTGCACTATCGATCAGTACAAGGCGCTTTTATACTTCCAGAGTACATCAAGTAACCAGGTTTATCCTATCTAAAGGAATAGACCCTTCTAGAAAATAGAATCACCCTGCGTATAGCCACGCGAGGCTATTGGTTTTAAGAGATTACGACAGGATTACGCTAGATAGCGTGTCTAGAACATTCCATGCTTGGTCGGTGATATAATTATAATAAGGGAAGAAACCAAAGGATAATGGAAAATGGGGAATATGAGGCAAAAGGAGATGAGATAAAAAGAGGAATGAAATGAAGATGGAAGATGGAAAAGGCCAAGTGGTGTAACGGAGTCGTACTCTCACACTTCCCCCCCTCAAAGCTGGGTGGTAGAAGTAACACCCTGCTTGACAAGGTAGTCATGCAGAGGACGACGGGCGTTACCCATGTCGGTCTCAGAGACCCAGCTGTCCTCAGAAGGATCATAGCCCTTCCAACGAATAAGAAGCTCCACGGTGCCATTCCGACGACGGCGGTGTGCAAGCACGGACTCGACCTCGTACTCGGGTTCATTTTGGACGAGGACGGGTGGCGGCGGCGGCGGTTGGCGTCCGACGAAGATCGTATTAGGATCTCGATAGGGCTTCAGAAGTTGGACATGGAAGGCGTTGTGAATCTTCCAGGTAGCTGGTAGGCGTAAGCGGAAGGTAACAGGAGTGACCTGTGCTTCAACGAGAAAAGGCCCGCAGAAGCGAGGTCGAAGTTTAGATGGGAGATGGCTGATGTCCAGGTTGCGGGTGTCAAGGAGAACTTGGTCTCCCACAGAAATGGTGTGGTCGTTGCGATGGCGATCGGCCTGGCGCTTCTGTTGCTGTTGAATGTCAAGGAGGCGCTTATGGGTCCGATCCCAAAGCCGATGCATGGTTGTGATGAAGTCGTGTGCAGGTTGGACTGTTGCTGGTGTTGTCGGTTTCTGTGGTGTGAGTGGGTGGCGTCCGTAGCAGAGGAAGAACGGCGTCTGTCCCGTAGCGGCGTGTGTAGCGTTGTTGTAGGCAAACTCCAGGACGGGTAGGTGCAAGTCCCATTTGGAGATGTCGTCCTTGCAGGCTGCTCGGAGGAGTTGCTCAACAATTTGGTTGAGGCGCTCGGTCTGTCCGTCTGTCTGCGGATGGTATGCGGATGACATGGCGAGTTTGGTGCCGAGCAGAGACATAAGTTCCTTCCAGAACTTGCTAGTGAACTTGGGGTCTCGGTCGGAGATGAGTGTAGTTGGGATGCCATGCTGTGAGATGATGTGACGAACGAAGAGTTGTGCTGTCTCCTCGGTGCGTGCCGTCGTGTGCGTCGGGATGAAGTGTCCCATTTTGGAGAACTTGTCAATGACGACAAGGATGGCGTCATGACCGCTGGAGGTAGGTGGTAACCCGGTGATGAAGTCTAGGCTAACCACTTGCCATGGTTGTTCTGGGACAGGAAGAGGCTGCAGTAGTCCCGCCTTTTTCTGCTTGCTGCTCTTCATCCGCTGACATGTATCACACGAGGTGACGAATTTCTGGACGTCGTCTGCCATATGGGGCCAGTAGTAGTGTTTGGCGATACCGGTGAGCGTCTTGTTGCTACCGAAGTGTCCGGCGTACAGGACGTCGTGGTATTCTTCGAGTAGTAACTGGCGCAAAGGAGGGTAATTGGGTACCCAGATTTTCGTTGAGCCTTTCCGGTACGCAATGTCGTTGTCCCACTGTAGTAGATGTCGTTTTTCTGCCAAGGGTATTTCGGGGTCGATGGCGTACCCGTGTGTGAAGAGTCCCTTGAGTAGTGGATTCATCCCTTCGACCTGAATCGCGGCAACGTGTGCAGGCCGGCTGAGAGCGTCTGCTTTGTTCTTGTGGCCGGGCTTGTACACGATGTCGTAGTGGAAGTGTGTCTCGAGGAAGTCGATCCACCGGACCTGCCGCCTGGAAAGGTTGGGTTGTGTCTTCAAATATTTCAGGCTGCAGTGGTCGGTGTAGACGGTCGTTCTTCGTCCTTCGAGATAGCATCTCCACGCTTTGAAGGCGATGATGATAGCAAGAGCCTCTTTGTCGTGTATCGGGTAGTTGAGTTCTGCCCCGTGCAGTTTCTTGCTGAGGTAAGCAATTGGTTGCAGTCCATTCCCCTGGTCTTGCATTAAGACTGCTCCCACTGCCTGGTCGCTGGCGTCAGCTTCGATTACGTAGTCGCGTTCGGGATCTGGCAAGATGAGCACCGGTGCGGACGTTAGTGCTTGTTTCAGCTGCTCCACGGCTTCCTGGTGCTTCGTCTCCCATTTGTAGGGCGTGTTCTTCTTCAGCAGATTCGTGAGTGGTGCCGCGAGTTTCGCATACTGTGGCACGAACCTGTTGTAGTAATTAGCGAAGCCTAGGAACTGCTGCAACTCCTTCACATTCTCGGGTGTCTTCCACGTACGTACGGCTTCGACTTTCTTGGGGTCGACGTGAACTCCTTGAGCGCTCACCAAGTGTCCTAGAAATTGGACTTTCTCCAGGGCGAATTCGCTCTTGGACAGTTTGACGTAGAATCGTTCTCGTCGAAGAATTTCGAAGACGCGTCGCAGGTGTTCGACGTGCTGCTTCATGTCGCGCGAGTAGATGAGTATGTCGTCCAGGTACACCACCACGCATTCGTCCAAGAGTGGTCGTAAAATGTGGTTCATTTCGGCTTGGAACGTTGCCGGCGCGTTGGTGAGTCCGAACGGCATGACCAAATACTCGTACGATCCGTACCGAGTTCGGAAAGCAGTTTTGTGGATAGAGTTGTCCGCCATCCGTATCTGCCAGTATCCGGACCGCAGATCCAGTTTGGAAAATACCGTAGCTCCCCGAAGCTGGTCAAGCAGGTCATCGATTCGCGGTATCGGATATTTATTCTTGATGGTCTGCTTGTTAAGAGCTCGGTAGTCGATGCACATGCGCAGGCTTCCGTCCGGTTTCGGTGTGAAGAGTACTGGGGCACCGTACGGTGAAGTAGATGGGCGGATGAGTCCTTTGGCTAGAAGATACTCGATCTGTTTTTTCATGTCAGTCAGCTCCGTAGGGCTGAGCCGATATGGTGCTCGGAAGGTCGGTTTCGAACCCGGTTCCTCCACAATCTCGTGTTGATGTGTTCGGTATGGCGGTAGCTCGTTCGGAAGATCGTCAGGAAGAATGTCTTGGAACTCCTTTAGTAATTCCTTGATTTTTTCTGGAGTTTCCGAGGCTTTCTCTCCGTCATTCTCCACCTCTGTTGCTATCGCCAGGAACCCGGTGTCGGTCCGCTTCACGTCCTTCTCGAATCGTGCGAGTGTCTCCACTGGGATATCTCCAGTATCGTCCCAGTTGGGTAGCTGTACTCTCCGTCCATTGTTGTAGATGCTTGCGGTGCGGTTCACCCAGTTGATCTCGGGGTTGAATCTTTTCAGGAAGTCTCGCCCGAAGATCAAGTCAAGCCCTTTGATGTTGGTGATGGGGAGTGCAGGTCTCCAGCGCAGTGGTCCAATTTGTAGGTGTAGCACTGCTTCGCCGTGTACTGGTAACTTGCTGCCATCCACCATCGTTGCAGAGAATTTTGAAGGCTTGTACTCTTCTCGAAGTCGGTCGATTATTGCCTTGTCGCAGACGGTGTGTGACGCTCCGCTGTCCACGAGTGCTTGGAGGCGTCGTCCTTTGCAGATGACCTCGAGCACGAGAGGCGGGCGTTGCTCAGAGTACCCAAAGATAGTTTCCTTGATTGGGTCATAGGGTACATCCCAATAATCCGTACACACCTTTTCGTTGCTATCTGCTCCTGAGCTAGCAGCTGGCCGAGGCTGCTTGGAGAACGGCTCTTCTCCAGGGCCCGGAGTTTCCTTGACGACTGTGCGTATCGTTGATGCCGAAGAACTGGATGCATCCGTAGAGGGAGTTCGGGGTTTTTGCAGCTTCTTGTAGACCCCCAGCTTCCTCTTGAGCTGCTTCAGCTCCACCGACGTCTTCCCTGGGGAGCGGGTAGTCGTTGTGGGCTGGTGTCGGGAGAGGACGTTGACTCCGTGGAAAGGTCGGCTTCTTTCCACACTCCTTAATTTGGTCCCCAAGTTGTCCGGTACCGGTATAATCTCCACAGCTGTCTGCTTCTTTTGGAGTCCCTCCCGAAATTTTCTCCAAGGCTCTAGCTCCTCGAAAATCATAAGTTTTCATTAAAGCATCTTTATAGGATAGCTTTAACGAATTCTTATAATTTCTTGGGTCTTCAAGGAGTTTCCCCGTCTCGGCAGAGTCTTTTTTCGCGGAGTCTGATTTTTCCTCGGCGAATTTCCCTGGCGAAGACTGGTCGTGGGGTGGAGATTTTCCCCCATCATTTCCTCCTGCTCGCGTCGAATCAGCTTCGTCGAAGTTGATTTTCTCGGAATCCCGCGGCCGTTTCCGGATCTTTTTATTTTCGCCAGCTAGATCCGCAATCACTGGCGACTCCCGTTTTTTGTCTTCTGATTGGCCGGAAGATTTCCGCCACTGTTGCGTGCCCGATACTCTGCGCGTGCGGCCTTCATTTTGTTGCAGTCGAAGATTCGGTGGCCCGGCACCCCGCAAAAATCACACGTGTAGTTGGTGTTTTTCGGACGTGGCCGCCCCTCGAATCTGTCGACTTCCATCGGGTCGGCGAACGTGGGGTGAGCCGAGCGGTCGCCCTGTCGCGTACTGCCGACGTGCGTCCGTCGTGTTCCGGCGTTGACCATGTCGAAGCGCTCCGCGGCCGAAACGACGTCACTGTAGCTCGCGTAGTTTGACGCTGCCACCTGTCGTTTGACTTCGGTCTTCAGCCCTGCGAGGTACGATTGCACTTTTTCCCCTTCGGTCAGGTCGGGAATGCGGTTATAAAATTCTTCCATCTGCTGCGTGTACTGTGATACACTCCCGAACTGTCGATGACGATGAATTTTTTCGCGGGCAAGAAAACTCGAATTTATCGGCTCGAATCGCTTCAGCAGGTCGGTGCGGAACTGCTGCCACGTGGCTTCACCGTGGATGAAGGTGCTGTTGCCGCCAATCCACTCGAGTGCCGGCCCTCGCATCAGTGTCGCCGCGAGTCGTACACGTTGACCGTCCCAGACTGGCGAGCTCCATCCGACGGCTGCGAAGTAGATCTCCATCCCGGCGATCCATCTGCGGGCGTCGGAGTTTCGATCGCTCGGATCGAACGGCTCAGGTGGGCGCGGTTTCGGAGCCTCGAGAAATTGCTGCGACTGCTGCGTCGTCGCCGTTGTCGTCTCGTGCTGCGCTCCGGCGAGTCGAGTTACTCGCTCGAACTGGTTTCGCCACGCTTCGCGATCCGCTCGCATTTCCTCCTGAAGGGCTGCGATGCGCGCGAAGAGCTGCTGGGTAACCTCGGCGTTGTCGAAGGTTGCCATCCTGTTCAAAACACGCACGGAGGGGGTAATTCGAAAATCGCGGAGCTGGTGCTTACCAGAATCGGCGTCGAATTGGTCGCCCCCGGCGGTTTTTCGAGGCAGGATCCCCGCTGCTGCTGCTTAGCTGAGCGCGGCCGAGTGAGAAAAGCTCTGATAACCAAGTGTCACAGGATCGAATGTGTCGAGGAAAGGTTGCACTATCGATCAGTACAAGGCGCTTTTATACTTCCAGAGTACATCAAGTAACCAGGTTTATCCTATCTAAAGGAATAGACCCTTCTAGAAAATAGAATCACCCTGCGTATAGCCACGCGAGGCTATTGGTTTTAAGAGATTACGACAGGATTACGCTAGATAGCGTGTCTAGAACATTCCATGCTTGGTCGGTGATATAATTATAATAAGGGAAGAAACCAAAGGATAATGGAAAATGGGGAATATGAGGCAAAAGGAGATGAGATAAAAAGAGGAATGAAATGAAGATGGAAGATGGAAAAGGCCAAGTGGTGTAACGGAGTCGTACTCTCACACAAACCCATGGCATCGACTACTGGGAGACATTCTCTCCCACTGCCAAGCTCCCAACTCTCCGTGCCATCCTCGACTATGCTGTTCGCATTGGCATGGAGATTGCCTCCATGGATGTCTCCAACGCCTTCCTGCAAGGCGAGCTCCAGGAGCGGGTCCTCTTGCGGCGGCCTCCAGGCTTTCATGCAGCCTTCGCTCCCAACACAGTCTGGGAGCTGCGCCGCCCGGTTTATGGCCTCAAGCAGGCTCCTCGCGAGTGGCACAACAAGCTGGCCGCCACTCTGCAGTCCTTGGGGTTCCATGCCTCTCAGTCTGATGCCAGCCTTTTCCTTCGCTCCTCTCCCACCCGCTTCTTCATCCTGGTGTATGTCGACGACATGATCCTGTTCGCTGACGATGCTGCCGCCATGCAGCAAGTGAAGGACGCCCTGCATGCGCGCCTCAAGTGCAAGGACCTGGGTGAGCTCAAGCACTATCTGGGCATGACCATCACCCGGGACCGCACATCGCGCACCATTACCCTCTCTCAGTCCTTCTACATCGACCAAGTCTTGCAGCGGTTCGACATGGCGCAGGCGAAGCCGGTTACCACTCCCCTGCAGACCGACCACCAGCTTGCCCCTCCTCCTGCTCCCTCCTCCTCTGACCATCCTTACGCTGAGCTCGTCGGCTCGCTGATGTACGCTATGATGTGCACCCGCCCCGACCTTGCCTACCCCATCAGTGTTCTTGCTCGATTCGTCGGTACCGGTCGCCACACTGATGAGCACTGGGCTGCAGCGAAGCGGGTCCTCCGCTACCTCCGTGGTACCAAGGACTATGTCCTCACCCTCGGAGGCTCTTCTCCTCCCCTCCTCTCTGGCTTCAGTGACTCCTCCTGGGCTGACTCCCAGCCGGATCGCCGTTCCTCTCAAGGCTACGGCTTCACCCTTGGCAGCGGCCTCATCAGCTGGCGCTCCACTCGCTCCTCCTCCATCGCCCTCTCATCCTGCGAGGCTGAGCTCTATGCTTGCACCATGGCCGCTCAGGAGGCTCGCTGGCTCACCTTCCTCCTTGCTGAGATCGGTGCTCCTCAGCGCTGTCCCACCCTCTGGTGCGACAACGCCAGCACCATCCATCTCACAAAGGACCCTGTCTTCCATGGCCGCTCCAAGCACATTGAACTCCGCTACTTCTTCGTTCGAGAGTTGGTCCAGCAAGGTCACTTGGTGGTCCGCAAGATCGCTGCAGAGGCCAACTTGGCCGACATCTTCACCAAGGCCCTCCCGAAGACCGCGCACTCTGCCCTCCTCCGCCTTCTCGGCCTTGGGCCCCGCCCCCCTTCCTGATTCTGGGGTTGTACCCTACATATACACTAGCTTTGCATGCTATGGGGTTGTGTTAGAATATACCATGCTATGCTAGTTGTGTATATTGTGTTTACATCCCTAGTTGGGTGTACACCTGTGTTGGGGTGTCAATCCAACCCAATTGTGGTTGGAGCCCCCAAACACAAGGACCACAATTGTGGGGGCACCACAAGTGGGTTGGCTAAACCACTGGTGGTACACCACACTTGGACCACCTCCAACTGGTGGTCAACCACATTTGGAAGGAGCCTCCCTCCCTTGTGATTGGTCCTAACCCCCCCTTCCCTTCCAACCTTCCCTTCCTAGCTCATCTCTCTCTTCCTATGTAATGCCTTTCCTTCATCAATAAACTGAACCTTTCTGTTTCTAACAGAGACTATGTCTAACCCCGGACCCACACAACCCCCCACACACCCTCAGGCCCTGTCTGGCAGCTACACAGCTCCGCAACCAGCTCCGCTCGGCTTCCACCTGTGTACCTGCTCTTGCTTGACGCGAGACGTTGGTGGAGGCGATTTCGTGATGGGAGTTCACCTATTCTGGTGGGGTCCGATTAGAAACTTGAAAACGAGTTGTACGAGATGGTCGAAATTGAGGTTCGACCAAGGAGAACCGAAGAGGAATTCAATGATGGGAAGCGTGAAAGCTTTCGAGCTGAGAAATTCAACGAGGTTGAGCGCGAAGGCGGTCGACGATGAGAGGCGTGACTGCAGAGTGGAGCACGTCGAAATTTCGACGACTCGAAACGAATGTCGCGACGATAAGGTGCGCGTAGCGCGGGCATATTAAGACTAGGACCTTGATCCGCGAGTGCGGATAGGTCGCCCTGAAACCATTGGGATCTCCTGGATCTCCAATTGGGTTATTGGAGATTGGGGGGATCACAATTGGGTGAGGTTGGGATTTTGTGAGTACAACCCAACCCACTAGAACATTCCTTACCTAATCTAGGATATAAAAGTACAAGTACAATAGTGGGATTTGCAATCTATTTCTAACACACCCCCATAGACTGCAAAACCCGGTCAAGGAGCACATAGCCCCATGGAACG